CAGCGACATTCTCTTTCGCGTGCGTTGGGCAATCCACACCGACAGCGCCGTATCCGAAAGATATACTGGTTGTGATGTTGAGTTGGATTGGTGCAAAAGAAGCTAATGAAATGTCAGTTTTCAAACTGACGGCGACGGAGGATGCCAACGAGCGACGAGGTAGAACGACGACGACCATGCGACCTGGGACGATGTGCATGTGGTCAAATGTAGAAAGCGCTTCTCAACGCTGCACGAGATGGCAACTTGGCTCAAGTCCAGTTGTATCTCAACAAATGCGTCAAAGTCAACTGCACGGACGACGTATGTTGGATCTCTAAAGAGGAATTGTTTTTCATTCATACTACATTGGAGTAGAATGGTTATGCGCCACTGCACTGGGCTGTTTCCAGCGGTCATGTGGACGTCGTCCGCTTCTTGCTTGAAAAAGGCGCCAAACTCGACGCCGAAAACAAGGTACGTACAGCCACCATGTCGTTGTTGGGTGCTGCCATGACCTGAGCCTTCAGAGATCAACAATGAACAACCATTGTTGTCTCTAGGATGGCGAAACACCGCTTGAGGTCGCAGAAGCACGCGGTTGGAATGATCCAGTCGCAAAGCTTTTCCGCAACTATATTCGCATACAACCCGAGCAAGTATATAGTCGGTCATAACGACAGGCTTCTGCAGCACGGATATAGCTCTTGGACGCACTGCGCGAGAAACGCATTCCTGTCGCCACGCGCATCCTCCAAAACAGCTTTATCCACGCCAACCTCCGTGATAGTGTACACATCTCTTTCAAAATGACATGTCATTGATAGTTATAACATTGAGTGTAGTCGGAGACGCCATTGCTGCACTTGGTCGTGTCGACGCAAGATCTGTCGCTGCTTCAAAAAATGCTTTCAAAACCTGACCTCGAGATCGATGTCAAAGACGCGGTATTCCCATAATTTGTCTTCGCGTCTGATATTTTCACGTAATTTGTGATGAAATAGACGGGTCGCACAGCCCTCGCAGTCGCCATTATCGCTGACAACGCAGAGTCAGCTCAGGCGCTGTACCAAGCGTGCGCATCCGTCGATTTCGTCGATGAGGTTGGCACTTGTATTGTCGCTTGGAGCTTTCGACGCTTTGGGGTAGAGCATCCTCGCTTCGGCACTGCTCCACGCAGCGTCTGGCAACAATGACCGGATGGTGGCTCAACTGCTGCGTTTTGGCGTCAACCCTACGTCACCCAACGAGGTTGCCCGTCAAGAGGCATTGCACCAAGCTCAATTTGATCTAGCACGGCGAGACAGCGCTGCATATGGCGGCTGCCCGCGGTCACATGCCCATTCTCACGACACTGTTCCAAGCGGCAACGGTTCACGACGGCATCGACGCTACCAATCACGTACTGCATTCGGTGTATTCAGTCGACTCGCACACTGTGCTTTAGTCGGGAGAGTCGCCCCTCTTTGCTGCTGCTGGTGCTGGCCACGCCGACATTGTCAAAGCACTGACGGCTGCCAACGCCAGCCCCAAGAGCATCACCAGCGTACTACGATCTTTGCGGAACCACCATCAACGGCATTGCAATGGTGCTAGGCTGGATCGACGTTATTGCACGCGGCCGCGATCGGTGGCAGCCCAACTGTCCTGGATCATGTCCTCCCGCTTTGCAACGATGCAATGGAGATGGTCGACGAGGTCGCTCTCCGCCATCTCATGTGAACTCATTCAGTTCTCGAAACTAGTTGGGGCAGACGCCGCTGCATGTCGCGGCCGCCAAGGGCCACGGTTGCGCCGTCAAGTACCTTTTGGACGCCGGCGCCAACGTCTTGGCTGCGTCCAAGGTCCTTTTGTCGGATGTCATGATCTACTTGAGTGACTCGTGTGTAGTAGACGGGAGCGACACCGCTGATGCTAGCGACCCACCCCTACGCCATTGCTGTTTTGCAACGAGCCGGAAGCTAGGCCAAGAAACGAGTAGCCGGCGCAAGCCAAACCACGTCCTGCCGCTGGATGCTACGTCGACAGCGCTTGGTGTCAGGCCGCTTGGCCATCGATGCGCTTGGTCATTGACGTCCTCGTGGCATGTGCTCG